ACAGAGCAACACCAAACCAGCAGCAGACCCACGCACTCATCCTCAAATCAATGCGGAACAGGTGGAATCGAGTGACGGCATGTAATAAAATAACTTAGTAGGAAACAATGAGGACGCCGGAAAAGATTAAGAGCAGCCTCTTTTTTAAAAGCTGCAACGTGACGTAACATAAAATAACAAATAAAATACTAAGATTTATGATTTAAAAATAAAACGCGGCAGCCCAGCTGCGCCAGCGTCCTCTCTCACCGGAAGTCCGTTAATCGCAGTTAATATTAATAATAATAATTCGTTTCTCAATTAATCCGCTAATCTCAGTTAATATTCGTAATAAGTACGAGTTTAATTGTATAAAAAATAATACAAAAAATAAATTAAAAAGCTAAGTAATAACTGCTTACTTCGAATATTACAAAACAATTACAATTACAAAACTGCTTACTTCAAATAAAACTTCCATTTGTCTCCAAAAGAGGAGGACACATATGTCGGGCAGCACCTGACCCAGCTGCTCCGCTGTATTTCTGGTAAACTGAAAGTCACATTTATTTGGGTCCATTTATCAACATAATAAGCACTTGGAGAAACACAGTGCAAGGCATCTCTGTTTACTCTGAAATTTGCCCGCTGTGATCTCTTTAGCAGTGTTTCTCAAAACAGTTTACCAAACAGATTACAAAAATGTATCAACTGGCTGCAATATTCTGACGATGGCAGCCTGGATCGTGTTGGTGTGATATCTCACATAAGAAATCCTCTGTGGAAGACTATATTAGCAGAATGATGGATAACACACAGTCCCACTGTGAATTCAGACGTTTCTAGTGCCAAAGTCCTGGTGGGGAACTATGATGGTCAAAACATTACTACCAACATTTCTTCACTTTACATCGATTCTTCATCAAGGTCATAAGATGAGCCACGTGCCTGTTTTATAGCTAGTTTCAAGCCTAGCCAACTGACAGTATGCAGAGCACATCCAGTGAGGTCTGAAAGTTGTGGGTTCCATATGCCTCCTAAAGTTTTATTGTGCAGTAGGCTGGCTCTCGTAAACACAAAGTTTGTATTTAAGTCAGCAAGTGCTGCCCTGTGTGTTTAGAGCAAGCTGTTCCTGTGAAGAGGGGGCTCGGGAGCCTTGAAAAGCATCAATCACGCTTTAAACACACAGTGGGTAGCAGTCGGCCTGGGTCTTCACTCTACTCTCATTAGCCATCAGTCATCTCAGCTGGGTAAGACCCACAGCTCTGGGCTTCTGACGGTGTGCACGTCGGCACTTTTCTCGCAAACCAGCTCCAGTTCAGTTTCAGGGGGACTGCAGGAGATTCTCCTGTGCTGTCTCATCTCTGCATTTCTAGGTGCTTTCCCACTCAACTGCGGTCTTTTTTGTCTTTGTTAGTGCGCTTGGCTCAAAAACTAACGTTCTCAGAACGTTCCCAGAACCTAAGTTTGTTAGCTGGGTAGTGTGCCCGCCTCCCATGCCGGTGATGCTGGTTTGAATCCTGCTTGGAGTGGATGCAAGTAGGACCAGTTACATTGGTGCCGTGACCCGGGCAGGAGTGAGATTCAGGGGATGAGTGTAATGGAGGTCAGCTAGTAAAGAGCTTGCCTCCATTGGTCTCAAGAGATGCACTAGCGACAGACACTGGCGAAGCTGCGGTCTTTAGCATCTTTGTTAGCGTGCTCGCCTCCCATGCCGGATACGACAGTTCGAATCCCGCTTGGAGCGGTGCAAGTAGAACCGAAGGGGTTACATTTTCATATGTGAAGTATGCTTGGGCATATGGGTTAACCCTAGACTGATTACTGTTTCTTTTTTATTTCAATATGTTCCATACAATCCCTCAGTATTTACTGCAGTACACAAAAGTGCTCATGCAGTGAATCTGAATCACCATAAAATAAATAAATGGATTAATTAATTTGAGCTTGTCCTCGGAAGCTGCACATAAACAAACATTTGTGATGTCTTAAGGTAATCACTTTTTAAATGACTTAATTGCAGAAAACTGTGTTATAAAAAAAAAAACAATACAGCATAACCAATAGTCCGCTTCACAAGTTAAATAACGGGCTCTTAAAGGAGCAGTTCACTTTAAAAAAAACTTTACCTGATAATTTACTCACCCCCATGTCATCCAAGATGTTCACGTTTTTCTTTCTTCAGTCAAAAAGAAATTAAGGTTTTTGATGAAAACATTCCAGGATTTTCTCCATATAATGGACTTCAATGGGAACCAAACGGTTCAAGGTTCAAATGAGAGTTTCAGTGCAGCTTTAAACGACTACAGACGATGAATAAGTGTCTTGTCTGGACCCTTCGAGTCATGACTCGCAAAAAAGAATTGCTTATTTTGATGAACGAGTTTGAACAGGAGAGTCACGAGCATTTGTGCTTATAAAACTGCAACTTTTTTATTTATTCTCAAAATGACTGATCGTTTCGCTAGATGAGACCCTTATTCGTCGTCTGGAACCGTTTAAAGCCTTTTGAAGCAGCACTGAAACTCTCATTTGGAGCTCGAACCGTTTGATTCATAACCTAGATTTACAATTTATTTACTCAACCTAGATCCTAGATTTACACGTTTAAATCCAGAGTTTATATGTCCACCAATAATGGATAACACATTTTCTCTGCGTAGCAGATTCTAAGACGGTGTGAGAAAGAGCAGTGTTGTTTTATTTTCCACTGGATAAATATAGGCTTGAGCTCTTCGGCCCCTGGAGATAAACGGTAGATATCTTTCTGTTCTTTTTTTCACCCTGTTCGTCAGCAGGGTGCCGTGGAACCATTAGCTGACATTTAAGCAGTGCTTTTGTCACTGCCAAACAGCCACTCTCTCTCTCTTTCTCCCACATCTTTTGCTAGGATGATGGAGGGTCGGATACATGCATCATTCAGGCCTGGGTGGAAATGCAGTACTCCACTTCCTTAATAATGTCATTTTGCTTGAATGGTATTAACAGATTATCCAGGCCCGGGGCAGTGAGGCATGTGCTGGAGAAAGATAACCTTGTGTTCTGTAATTTAATCAAAAATGTTTTCTCCATAGAGTCACTTTGCCCACACCATAACAGGCCTAATATGCTCTCGTACCCCCTTGGTTGTATTCCTCTGTGGTTGCAGAGCACACACACACGCACACAAAAACTATTACAAGAGAGTTTTGCAGAGATTCCTCAACGAGGTGTTTCGAATCACTCAGCGGCAGCGCCTCATCCGTGGACATGGGACTATAAACAGGCTTAGATGAAATCAGATTTAAATCCTCAAATTTAGCTCGGCTGCATATCAAAGAGACACTTTTGCCCGACTCTCAAAGGCAGAGCGTTATTTTCTCCTCCGTCACTGTAGGCCTACAGTAATATTCCTCGCCGCATATCGGGTTCAAAAAAAGCACGGTGAAATTCTGCGACACAGTTTGATTTAGAGGCAAAAAAATGTAAACCATTTAAAGGCGAACTCTTTATGGAGTTTAATCCTGCGTTCCATCCCTGGAAGCCGAATTTATATCCTGCATTAGCTCGTCGGAGTATTGCTCTTTTCCTCGCACGAGCGTTTCGGGGGCAGACGGAGGCCCTATCGCTCACGAGCACATGCACACACAGGCATTACGGGGCTTATCTCATCTCGCGCAGCCCGCGCTAGTCCGCGGCTCGGTCCTCCGGGCTACTTTACTAATAACCTTTTCCTTATCAGGCACTCTGCACCTCTGCCTGTGATCAAAGACCCAATTAATGGAGCGGGGAAAGGTGAGGCATTCAAATAATAGAGACAGCTGTTTTTCTCTGTTTGAGAGAATCCATTTGTATTGTTATCGGCAGAGAACAGTTCTCCGGACTTCGCTTAATTGAGGGTCTGTCAATTCTCGCCACTTGATAAAAAAAACGCCAGTTGAAACGCGAAAGGTGGTAAATGGCGGAAATATCACAGTGGTTCAACTTATCCTTAGCTTTATGATCTCTTAAATGGTAATAAAAGCAGATAAGGGGCGTAAGAGGTTCACAAAAGCGTAGACCTAGCTAGCAAGAGTCATGTGATTCTTGAAGGTTTTGTAATGGCTGAGCGATCGCCAGGGTGTACATTTTGGCGTGGCGCATTTATAAAGCCTTTCGGCCGGGACGAAGGTAATTGCTGGACTAAATGTGTTGCCTTGTCAATGTCGCTGTCAAATTTCAGGACAAAGTGGGCTGAACATTGCACATTTTAACATTTCTACATTAGGTAAAATGTAAAACGGGGGACATGGGAATTAAATGACACTTTAAATACAGACCTTCCACACTAATAGCTTCCCTTCAGAGAGCATTTACTCTTCAGTTCACAAGGCTACTTATGTTGGGTTTAGCAGGCCTTTCAAAGCCACTTTCACTTCAAGGTTTTCTCGGTTCATACTAAATTACAATTTACTCAACCTTTAACAGTATTGCAGTATAGAGACAATTGTTGTAAAAAAGCCCATTTGAATCGAAATTATGAGATAAAAAGTCAAAATTTGATACTAAAGGCCCTTGCACATTCGCGTCATTTCCACAAGTTTAAAAAAAAAAATATCCTCACGTTATGTCAATCAAGCTTGCACACTGCCTCCGAAACTTTTGTCGGTCATAAAAAAAAAATCGGATCGGGTTCGATTTTCTGTGTTTTTCTCATCCTTAGCAAGCAGTTTGAATGGTGTTTTTAAAATTCAGAGCCACCGAATCGCAAATACGAAAAAACACATATGAAAATTTCGGACTCAGTGTGTGCAAGGGCCTAAAATGTTGAAATTATGACAAAAAAATGTTTTACAAATACTTTTCATGTCCTAATTATGATTTACATAACTGTGGGAACCCTGTAAATTAAAATGCATGAAAAAAATAAAGAAATCAAATAATTAACTCTTAGATGTAGCTAAATGAATAAATGTTAATGTAAACGATGCATTCAAACAGAATGCGCATTGTTCTGTAACATGCAACAGGTACAAAGTACTTTAAACCAAGACAGCCTCCAATGCAGGTATGAACATATTTATTACACAGTAAAGAGTACAACAATACCAGAATCATACTGCAAAGATTCACAGACTGACAGACCATTTACTACAGCCCCCAAAAATGAGAGAATAAAATAAAGAAAACAGATTAAACAAGAAACCACAGTTCTGACATAGTAGACTCAAAAACCCTAGAGTATACCGAAACGGTGTGACGAGAGAGAGCACACCCTCCCAGCTCCACCTGTAACCTGTGGTTCATGTTTCCGTTAAGTATTGCACAACAACTTTCATGAGTTTTTTTTTTTCACAATAAAGATTTTCGAAGAACCCTATGACTGCCCGTCCTGAACCCACCCCACCAATTCATTTCACTAAGTTTCCACGGTCCCTTTATTATCCCAAAAGTTGAATTAACTTTACAAACTGGAGGAAAAACAAAACAAAACGTAAGAACACCTGGCAAAAAAGGCATGCGTAAATTCACCAGCCGTTACTTTCCGCTCACGTTTTGGTGCGAATCCCCCAATAACACGAACCTAAATGACATTGACGAGCGGCCAAGCGTGTCTCACAACAGAAGACATAAACGGGGGAAAAGGGGTTGCAGGAGAAGAGGAGGGCAATTGGAATATAATCACATTTTCTCATCTTTGACCATTTATTGAATAGTGTATATCAAATGGTGTCAACACTTATTTTTTTAACTTTGAGTTGACAAACTTAAAAAGAACATAACATTTTTTTTTTCGTTTTTTATTTTACGTATTCTATTACGTTTTTTTTTTTTTTTTCTCATGAGGTCTGCATTGTTACCAAGTAGTGATATGGTTTGCAGCTATATGAGCTTTTAACTTTGGGTTTAAGTCCTGTTCTCATGTGCCCATTTGGTTTGACTAGACCAGTGTCCGCTCGGCGACTGGTGCTCCTAACGTGCTGTCAGAGGTAGAGTGAGACTTTTTGCCACCGAGGAAAAAAGGTTGTAGCAAAACAGACGTACTAGAGTGGGAAGGAGGAGTTTCTTGATGCTTTGTCCGTGCTTAGTTTATTCAGGTCACCCTGATTGAAGTTATTACACTAACTGTATATATTTTTCAAAAATAGTACATTAGTGTTTCAAGACAGCTTAGCTGGCAGGTTCTCTGGAGATGTGTACAGGTGTCTTACACCTTTGTTTTTTTTGGATCATTTAACCGTAGCGTGCCGGAGGAGGCCGGTAGTGCATCCAGGGCCAGCCCCTCCTCCAAAGAGGTCAAATGCACAGCGTTTAGCACCATGGTTTGAAACATCAGAGTGCAGCTAAGTGCTGGTTTAGACCCCTCTTCCTCTTAAGCCATTGGCGAGGTTGTTTCGTTTAGTTTTAGTTTCTCACATGGCTTTTTATTTTAGGTTTGGTTATGCGCCGTTCGTGAACGAGAAGAGCTCCGCTTCGGTCGGGCAGGTAGCCTTTTGGGGTGACGTTCTTATGACACATCCGTTTCGAGGAATGATACGGAAAGAAAAAGGACAAAAAGGAAATCCTAGCCCTGGAGGATTTAGATATGGGATCCACCTTTTCAGTTATTGCTCAATCATTCAGACCGCCTCTTTTCTTAGGACCTGCTACGTGGTTTTGAGTGGCTCCTCCTCCCTACGATCTGAACAGGGCTGGTCTTGGCTCTGGACAGGGGGAGAGTTAAAGGTTTTCGAATGGAATCATTGCTCAGTGTGGCTTCCCCTGATTAACACGTCGAGAAAACAAAAAGTGAGTCTCTTTTGTCATGTTTAAATCTTGGATAAAATCAGGTTTTGGTCCTTCATGTCTGTCTTTGGCTGTCTTCCATGTTAATTCTTTTGTAATACTGTGTATCCTGGTGCTCTGCAGTGTTAAAGCTGTCTGTTTTTCACCTCTGCATTTGGAAAGTTAGTTTCTTAGTGTCTTTTTTTGTCATTTTTTTCCTTTTTTGTAGAAAACAAAAACAACATATACCATAGCGTTCAGTATGCATGTGCATGCACTGTCCTTATCTATTCAAAGCAAGATGGTTAGAAAAAAAAGTGAACAAAAGCAGATTGTGATACTTCTGTTTCGTCTTTTTTCCGTTTTCTTTTTGCTCTTTTTTCATACATTTTTTCTCCATTTTTTTAACAAGAAAAGAAAAATCACAGATATGTAATAACGAAGCACTCCAAAGATAATCTATGAAGTGAGGCGCCCTATGAAGAAAAAAAAAAACTGCCAAAAGAAGCATGCTGAGAGAAACCGTGACAGTGCAAATACATTTATGTACGTCCCATGTACAAAAACATTTATGTTAGCATTCCATGTAACATGCTAGTTCTCAGAAAAAACATCTGAATGAGACTGAAGTAGCAGCTCTGAGAGATAGCGTTTGTCTTTCGAGGACAATGGGAAAAGTTTTTTTTCTTCTTAGAGAACTACAAGGGGACTAGCACAAACACATACAAATAGAAAAGCAGCTTGCGAGAAAGAGAGAGAGAGCGAGAGAGACAGAGAAAAAAGAGAAAATGTGTTCTTCCTTTTTGCACCTAGAAAGACTAAAAAGTTGTGACCGTGGTTTAAACTATTAATGCGTCGTCACAATTGTCCAGCACACGTACAATAAATAACCATTGGAGACGGCACAGGACACAAGTGTTTAACACAATGAGATCTAGAAGGGCAAAAAGAAGTAGAACGAGGACTGATGGCGAGAGATAGGCAGGACAGGAGAGGGCTCTGGACTGATTCCAAAAGCCGGTGATTTATGGGTGATTTCTCAGCCCTTTGTTTCCCAGCGGCTGTCACAGTGAGGTTCGGACAGTCCTGCTCTGGTGGGCCGATGACTTCACTTCCTGTTTTGGGAGCTGATGGAGTGCATTTGGGATCAGGGCTCAGAGTGCATCCTTCATTACGCCGTGTAGTACTCAACATCCAGCACGGGCCCTCCTCGCCCCTACATTCCTCAGTGAAACAGCTTTTTATTTCTCAGACCATTGACCTGGATATTATCTTGCAGAAGAGGGACGAACATCTGCGTTCCTTCACAATCTGCTGCACATCTGCAGAGTTCAGCGCGCGAGCCAGAAAAGCCATCCGCCGTCTACTCCACCACGTCCGACACAGATGCCCTTCACGGCGTGTTTTTTTCCCCCTCGACGTTTCGTTGTCTTCTTTACAAGGAACGCTGTCCTAATAATAGTCAGAGTCTCTGCTTACATCAGCTATGAAATATTTCCTTGGTTTTTGTTATTTAAAGTGTCTTTTAATGAGGTCAAATAGTTTCATATCCCAGCTACTGGATAAAGAGCTTTGAGAACAGAACGGAGGAGGGGGGAGGAAAAAAACCCCGACAAAAAACAAAAAAAAACAAAATGAAGAGGAGGTCAAATACACTCATCAAGAGGTCCCAGCTGTCTACTCCATTTGTCTTCTTATTTACAAGAATGCAAGAGAGCCACAACATCAATAAACGACATTACCAGCAGTAATCGATAATAGCTGTAGTAACAATAAAGAACAATGAGAATTTCAAACAAAGAATATCTTTGCGTTCTCTATCATGGCAAGTCAATATGACCCGAAATGGACCTCCTATGGGTGATCGCCCTAAGTACAGTCTTCTTTCTTTGTTAGTGCGCTAGCTTTAGCATTTTGGAGCGAGCGAGTGAGGCAGGTGAGTCAGTCCCCAGTCTGCTGAGGCTTTAGTAAGGGTCCGCTCGGACTCTAGCGCGGCGTGTTCTCTATGGTGGAGGGCGTGCCGGGTGTGGCGGAGCGGGGAGTGGCGGCGGACGGCGTGTCCGCTGGGCTCCCGGCTCCGCTGCTGGGGGTGGCTGAGGAGCTGACGGTGGCCGGGGTTTCGCTTTGCTGCTGTGCCTGCAGAGTCTGGCCACATACGTGGTGGTGCTTTTCCCAGTCCTTGTGCTGGCAGAAGGAACCGCAGTAACGCGCCGTGTTGCAGCCGCTGCATGTTTCGCTCGCCTTGCGCCCACAATTCCAGCAGCTCTGCGTGGGAAAAGAGGGAAGGTTTAAACTTAGTGGTGGGCGATATGACCAAAAGTTTACATCACAGAATTGTTCAAAATTATACCGGTTTCACAGTATAAGACCAAGCATGACTGGGTGTTAACTAGCCTAGAAATCTAGACGCACCCTAGCGGCAGCAAAAATTATTTTGCAGCAAAGTGTGGTCTAGCAACTCTCCGTTGACTTTCGAAGTGGAAAAACCAAACTCTGGTCCGGCCAATCACATCATGTATAGAGACGGCAGAGTTGTGATGGTTCTGCACCGTGATTTCCATAGGTGATTTCCCTGCTACTTAAAAACAAACAAGATGCAGCTGGCGAACAGCGGTCTTTCGATTCGGCTTTGGCCGCGACTCTGGATGACTTGGAGTTAAGAGAACGTCACTTAACGTCACTTATGTGTTCGGAGTTTTGATGACAGGATATGGCAAAAGTTTAATATATCAACTTGCTCCGCTGGAGGGAAAACGCATTGGACTCACTCATCCACAGCCATTCGTTGCTCTGGTTGGTTGTGGCGCTATCCTATTGCGTGCAGAGGGATATTGAAAGACAACCTTTTACCCCGCCCCTTGGATTGAGGTATGCCAATTGTGAGTTCCCAGACCTAACATCTTGATAGGTGTGGCTTGCCAGGCTAGGTAACCACATTTTCTACTAATTGAGAAATACCAGCCCGTTCTCATCCCAAGAAGTCATATACTGACGCTTTTGACATTTCGTCTACATCCAAAGCACATAGGGTCAATATGAGACGTAGATATATATGGGCCAGAAGGCGCCTCCTAGTGGTGTAACCCTAACCCTACCCCAGACCTAAACCTAGCCATAACCGAACAAAGCTCTCTGCGTGTTTTAGTGACGCTAAGGGGTGCCATGTGCGTTGGATTTAGACGAAATTTCAAAAGTGTCACTATATGATGCCCTAGGATGAGAATGCGTTGGAAATACTGCATTTGATTGGCTTAGAATGCCCTATTATACTGTCATGAGTTAATATTATAAAAAAAAAAAAAAAAAAAAAAAAATCCACACTAGTATTAATACAGGTTTGCAAGGCCCCACAAAATGATGCTGTTTACAAAGAGGTTGTACACAAAGCAACGCAGCACTAATAAACGCTGCTTTATCAGGAAAGGTTAAATGAAAATGACATCGAAACTTTTGTAAAGACAGTCAGTTCGCATTAAAGATACATACATATAAAAACACCCACGCCGCATTTTGACTTTGTAACATGCAGTGCTCATGTTTATTCAATGATGTCAAAGGCTTTTGGAAAATCTATTTGTGGCGGGCAGTGTTGATATTGTGAACCAATGTATGGGAAACACTGTAATATAATTTGAAAGCTATCAATTATAGTTTAACTAATGCATCTTGACCTTCACATATAGTAACACATACAGCTGTGCATCACCACAGTGCAAAAGTGAAAAGTGACCCCTCTCAAACAGTGTCGTGCCACGATGCGACATACTTCGGTATTCATATATATTCTGGTATATTATACATATTCTGGTATATTAAAAATGCGTATCACAACAAAAATAAACACACTGCCTGATACACTGCCCAGCACTATTTCAGCCGTATCATATTCAAAAAATGTGCATTCCTTTCCATGGGTATTATTCCAATCAGGAAATAATAGATACACAGACCTTTGAGAAAAGCGAGCGAAAGTCTCGGCTCATTAGCAGCAAACATTTCCCATTTGAATTTAAGTGTAAATAGAGAATTCTGCTTTATTTTTCTTTGGATCTCCCTGCTTTGAAAACATGGAAATAATGAGCTAGCTGGGGGGAAAAAACCCAGTCATTTTACCCAGTTCCACATGGCGCTTTGTGAGGACACATTTGTAACAGGTTAACAAAAAAAAAGATCACACAGAAACTCAGGTTACCACTGTGGCCTCGTTGTGTTTGTCTCCGGGCCAAATAAGAGCAATTATCACAAAGTCTCGAATGTGTCCCAGAGAGGAGAAGCCGGAGTTATAAACGGCTACCGACGCAATCCTCCGGAGAGAGGCGCATAAACATGGCTCGTGCAATTAAACTCATATGCGTGCCGCCTTTCTCTGCTAACTGATTAAACGAGCCGTACCCCCGCTGTGCGCAGACACTCGGCGCTCCCTTCCCAATTTCCCGCATCCAAATCAGTACCACCTTAACCGTCCACATGTTTCATTTAGTGGAGGAAACGCACCGCTATGCCTGAGATGATAAATGCAATGTTATATTCCTCGGCTCTGCGTGACACCAGCCTGCATGAGGAATTATCTGGGACACACTTTTCTCTTCTCACTGTGCTTTTCATATGATCTCCCTACAGATTTCCATACTAAGGAGATCAAATCTAAGTCATGGAAATGAAACAACCCAACCAAGTAAATCAGGCATGTACAAATCATATAAAATATAAGAAAATCCCCTAGATGATATGTAATGCGAAATATAAGCAATTATGGAATATATTACCATCCCAATGAATCCTTGTGCAGTAAGTGAATGCTGCAGCTGTTCACTAATATAATAATGTGCGGTGGGCGTACAAGCTGTTACCTCACTAGAGTCCTCCTGCTGGTTGATGACTGACAGCGCGTCCTCCGCCGCTTGCCTTTTGGCCTCGGCCACCGTGCGCTCCATCTTGGCTCGCTCCGTGCTGATCATCTCGTGTGCCTTGCGCTCGGCCTCTGACACAGCTTTCTGCAGCTCAGACATAGCCTGCCTCTTCACCTCATTCACAGCCTCTTCTGAAAGAAAAAGCACAGTGCTTTACAGTGTCCATAGCACAGCAACAGAACCCCCCAAAAATAGTGTAGAATGAATGACCGATTAATACAGTTTTTCTCAATTGTTTACACACATTTTCTGGTACTTGAGACACAATGACCACAACATGTAACTCATTCACCAACCCCCTGAACCAATTCTGCTAAACTACAAGCACAATTCCTGCTTTACACTCAAATTGCAGTTCTAAAACACACGTTTTTCAAAACACTACACACAAATTCTCTGCATTTGGCACAATTTTCATGCAGAAAATCTCTTGTTTTCATGAGGAACACACTGCCATTCAAATATTCACACTGACTCGTCACATGGGCAAACACATTTCACACAGTTTTACAATTAGCGATCAGAGCTTTAGCATAAAATACCAAAACCAAAGAGAGGATGCAGCATAGATATTTTTTTATTTCTTTTTTTACTGTAACAGCATAACAAATTCTGTTGTTTTGTATGTAGACCACTGTATGTGCAACTTTGTGTTGGTTGGGGTGTAGAAAATGTGGGATCTATCTCCCATTGATTTTGTGGGAAAAATAAAATATATTTGTTACCATGTATTTGTGTGTTCTGGGTATAAAAACAATATTCTCAAATATTTTACAACACACTTATGTATGTAATGTCTGTAGTAAGTGTAACACTGAACAAAAAAAGGCCTAAGTCATTATGATGAATGGAGAAGAAGTGTTTTCCATTGATCATAGTGTTTTACATTGAGCACATCAGTGTTCAACTGGTTCTTATAAATGTCTATTCATATGATGGTTTGTGTGTGTCATTTGAAAACAAAATACCATTTTGAGAAGAAATAACATTGTTTTGAATGTAAAGTTTCATTTTGCAGGAGAATTGAGGGGTTTTGCCAATTGTGTTAGTGTTTTTAGATTTGTGTGTAGAGTTCTGAGAATATGAGGCATTCTTTCAGAAAATGTGTGTAAACAATCGAGAAAAACTGTAAATAACATATAATCTGTAGTTCTGCTATATGCAGATATATATTTTTTTTCAGGTAACCTAAAACATATGATTTATGTGGTGATTGTTTTTTATTGAAGTCTAATATTATTTTAAATGACTTAATCAACCTCTCTACATTGTTAAATCAAGTGTATTTTAAGGGTCAGATAAGTAGAAATAGCTCATTAAGTTAATTGCACATGTTGAAATGTTGACATGACATCTCACAGCTAAAGATTATGCCTTCTAAAATACTAGGTGTGTCACAATATATCTCAATACAAAAATGCAACAATATGTATCGTGGATTGTTTTGTTTTTGTTTTATTGAAAGGATCCCCATTAGCTACAGCTATGCTGCAGCTATTCTTCCTGTGGATAGTGACAATCTGTATCTGCTGTCACCATTTTCCTGTGCATTGGGTTAACAGCATCACGTCCATGCCTATTCATTTCCACCCCCAATGTAATACCAAATTTAGCATTTTAAATCAACAGTAAATGTTTTGTTAACCTTTTACCATACTTCTTAAAGTATCGCAATAATATTGTATCGTGAGTTCAGTATCGTAATATGCATCGAATCGTGACATAAGGGTATCGTTACACCCCTATAGAAAACACTTACCTAATAATTCAAATAGATACAAATTTTTTAATGCACATTTTGTATTCATTCAAAGTAACTCAGCCAATTAGAGTTCATTTTGAAAACTATTTTTACGTTGTTTAATTGATCCTATTGGTTTGTTTTGTACAAAAGCAGCTGAGAGATTAATCTAGGGATTAATTAGAAACATCAATTTGTATTTGAATGTGCTCAGATGACTTTCTGTGTTTTCTGAATACAAATAAACAAGAATGGAATGCTTTTGTTTAGCCTCAAACCAAAGACTACTGTAGTGCACAAGACAGATTACAGGTAATCCTTGATATTTTTCCCTATGAAATATAAATGTATTTCCTTGAACTCGCACTTTATCTCTACTTTAACATTGTTATCCCATTAACCGTAAATACTTCTGGCAGGAAAACTCATCTCAAGAGCAGACTAGGGATTTTTTGTGTTTGTTTGTTTTCATTGTTCAAGGCTGCAGCCTGACTAATTGCATATGCAAATTGGGTAATTTATATTTAAATTATGCATTTCAATTGCGCCCCCAAAGGACCATGCAGATCAGGATATGGCACTGTTTGAGAAAAGGGTTTGAATATTCATCACCTACTGTACATAATCTTTCTAAAAAAAAGGGCATTCACCTCTTATGCTTGTGAAGACCACTTTAAGGCAGTTCTTCAGACTCTTAACTCTTAAAGGGTTAGTAAATCATAGTGTAATTTTCATTTTTGTGTGAACTATCCCTCTAAGCCAGTGTTTTTGAAAAAAAATGTGCCAGCCAGCGCCAGCATTTTTGATCATTTTCACAGAAATGAGCCCCCCAGAATATTTTGTATGACAATCTGAACATGCAATATTTCAAAAGGAAGAATAAACATACCCTCTGCTTTTCCAAAAAAAAAAAAGTATTCTAGCTTCATGCATTCTGAGCAAAAAGCTGATAAAATTACATTTATGTTAAAGACTACGTCTGGATCGGATTCATCAACACCTCCAAAGCTTGCACAGTCCTATACCTCGTCTTGGGTCGACATTTTATTCGTTAACATTAGGCAGTTTTGATTTATATGCTGTTTAATGTTGATGATTGCTTTATTTATTTATTTTTTTACATATGTACTGTAGTAAATATGTCTTTTTTCCAAATTCAGAATGTCTAATAGCACCCCCTACCATATAACAGTGAAAACACGGAAAGCCGTACAATGGCGGGAAACCCCGTCAACAGCGGGGAAAGAGTTAAAAACTTTTAGCTTGTGTTAGGTTTTGTAACCATCACTGGAGTGATGAAAATACTATTCTTAAGGAGCTTTAATAGACTAAACTGTCATGGCAGTCTCTTGTTTTGCAGAAATGGATGGCTGTGGTTGAGCAGACCGCAGTCTTAAATATGAAGGATTATAGAGCCAGGGACATTTTCATCAAGACTGGACTGAATTGTAAAACCATGGTGGTTTGGTGCACAGAGTCGTCCTCTTGATGGGCTTAGGTCACGGAAAATGCACCACATTCCCTGATATGTTTAACTGCATCTCTACTTCCATCACTATTCAGATGGAATTTCAATCTGTGGTGATTTGCGCCGTTGTGTTTCAAAGGCAACGCGTTAGCTGAAACGAGCGTCTTTTGTAACGTCATTTTCATGGCAAAGTTTGTTTGCTTTTATGAAGCCTTTGGTAAGACCACACAGTGAAGACAAACTGCTTTAGCAGATGCGTCTGTCGTGTACTAGAGAGCCGAAGCCAAGGTAAACAATCTGCTATTACAGAACCCATCACTTGTCATATTTCACACAGATCAACTGCTCTTTAAACAAAGCCTTTTAATATCTTTATCCGTCTTTTAACCAGCTCCTCTGCTGTGATAAAACAGAGTGCCGTGGAGAGCTGAGAGCCTGTTGCACAGCTAATGGCAAGAGTGCTGAAGTGCTGTAAAGGCTGGGAGCACTTATGTGTCCTGTTCAGCCAGAGCAATAAAAGAGCTTTATGATCTGACATCACTGTTGGAATGTGTAGAGGTGCTTCCAGTGAAAGCCAAGCACTGAACTGCCCAACACACGACTCAGGGACATCACAGGAGTCAAACAAAATGCAAGGCATTTCAAAAGACCTTCTTCTGAACATTTTTGATAATGTTGGTTTTAAACGTAAATGCATGATGACAAAACCTTTTCATTTTTAATAAAATGATATTTTTTTAATATTTGTCGGTGACACTTTACTTGAAGGGGTGTGCATAAGACTGACATGACACCTTCATGAAGTAGGGTTTGTTTATGTTTAAGTGTCTGAATGCAAATGTGTTGTCTTAGTAATGTCAAGTTGTCATGACAAAGATGTTAAAAACTGTAATAACTGAGAAAATAACACTTAATGACAGTTGTCATAAACATGCATAAAACTTCCTTCATATTCATAACATACGTCATGTCATGATAATGAAGGTGTCATGTTAGTCTTATGCCACCACAAGTATGCATGAAAGGAAAACAATTCTATGTTTATTTTCATTAGCATTAAAGGAATTTAATCTGTCAAAAACATGTGAATTAATTTATTATATTTTATTTATTGTCCTTTTTTTAAATTTGATAAAATGATTTTTTGCCTAAAGCTTAAATTGCAATTATATGTACATCATATATTTTTTTTAAATCACAGACAGGCTTTGAAAGAGCTCTGTGTGAATAATTTAGCTTTGATTTTCCACCTGTGCTTATGAGTATGTGTACATGTCAAAAAAGACAGCATGCTAACCGGCTTTCTTCCAGATTTCTTCAGGTACATATCCAGACACTGGCCTGTGAAGGAGCTCCCTATGGATATCTATAAAAGAGAAAACAAAGCATACTTCATTTACAATGAACTCAATAGACAGCATTTTTTTTCCCAGTCAAAAAAACAGATACTGTCATCAAGACAATTGTTAAATCAACTGTAAATCTGTTCTTTTTTAAGGTCGGATAAATAGATGTAGGCAATAGGACGTGATGCAGATGTCTCAGACGTCTGAATACGTGTTACCTAAAGCATTGCTTTCTTGGCTGGCGGGGCTCTGCTGTCGGGACTGACTGCTGCTGGTGCTGCTGGTCTTCTTAAGGTCTTCAGCATCACTGTAACGACGGATCCAGTAGTTGAGCTCCTCCCGGTCGGCCTCCTGACACCTCCGCAACACCGTCAGCGAGCGGCGAGTCTTCTCCACCATATCCATGATGCAGTTCAAGAGCTGTGGGGGAGATGCAGGCGGAGCGTTACCAACACAACATCTTCTATAAATAGAATTGACCAAATTTAGATATAAAAATATCACGTTAAAAGGCTTACATTGAACACTCATTCACACATCTTTATGTTTTCTTAGCCAACCACTAAGAAACAGTTAATGTTCTGTGGTAGCTTTTTTTTCAGCACAGGAGACGTTACAACTTAAATAACCCAAAATTTAATTCACCCAAAATTCACCCTAAAATTTAAATTTCGTCATTAATATCAACATCCTCAATCAACATCCTCATTTGAATCAACATCCTCATGTTGATTCAAACCCATAAGACTTTTGTTCAACCTAAGGAACACTAATGAAGATCTTTTTGATGAAATCTGAGATCTCCATTGACAGCTACGCAACTACCACTTTGATAACTTTTCATTAAGTTCATAAAGAGATCGTAAAACTAATCCATATGAATTGAGCGGTTTAGACCAAATTTTCTGAAGAGAGACAATCACTTTATATGATGAAGAAATATGTGGTAAACAGAAGGTCAAGCATGTTCGCTTGACGTGTGAGAACCAATGAGGTTCATTCTTAGCACGTTTGAGCTTCTGCAAGAACCAATAAGGTTTGTTTTCACACGTCAAGCAGGTTCGTTGAGCTTCTTGTTAATATTCAATGATCAATTTTTATGTGAATAAAAGCCTAAATTAAATCTGTTCATCATATAAAGCGAGTCTCTTCAGAAAATTTGGTCTCAGTTGATATGGATTAGTTTTACAATCTATTTATGAACTTTTGAAGCATCAAAATGGTAGTTGCATAGCTGTCAATGGAGGGCAAGTAATTGATGACAGAATTTAAACTTTTAAATAACTCTTTAAAGGGATACTCCACTTTTTTTGGAAATGGCTCATTTTACAACTCCCCCAGAGTTAAACAGTTGAGTTTTACCGTTTTCGAATCCATTCAGCCGATTTTCTGATATTTAGAAGAATATCTGTAACCAGACCGTTTCTGGTCTCATTGACTTCCATAGTAGGAAAAAAATATACTACGGAAGTCAATGAGACCAGAAACTGTCTGGTTACTGATATTCTTCTAAATATCAGAAAATCGGCTGAATACATTCGGAAACGGTAAAACCCAACTGTTTAACTCTGGGGGAGTGGTAAAATAAGCCTATTTCCAAAAAAAGTGGAGTATCCCTTTAAATAACAACTTATATGTTTCTCCTGAAACTCTTAAGAAACAAATAAGCAATTGTTCACAAAATTTTGATCTTGGAATAATTAAAAGAAGTTTGCGTTCATGTTAAACTAGACTTCAGAATCTTGCTCATTTCGTGAAAGATATGAGAAACAGAAGAATCACAATTTGAGCTCAATATAATCTCGTTGCTTGTCTAGAAGTGCTTGTGATAAAGCAAAAACAAAACAGAACAAACATGCAAACACACAGATATGACTAGCAAACACACTTCTCATTCTCTCACACACATACACTTTGGATAGTAATAAAAAAATGTTATTACTTTTCTTACATGGTCAAGGTGCTTCCACTCTTCTGCCCATTCTCTGTCTGTGAGCCTGTGATCTATGACTTCCTCCTGGCGTGTGCTGCCGTGCATGCCTGACACAGAACGAGAGAAAGAGAGAGAGCGAGTGTTAAACGTGTTACTATTTGGGCCTTGGTTTTCCATTTCTCTTGCTTGCCCTCAGCGGCATGTCGTGCCCGTCTGTTTCACAGCCATAGCTCACCCGCTTCCTGACATCCTCCATCGCTCACACACTCTTCATTCCTCACATGCTCTCATCCCTCACTCCACTCTCCCGCGCTGCCTGCAGGCACGCTCTCTCCCTCTCCCCTCACCGCACCAGAGCTGCCAGACTCATGCAAATCTTGTGCATATATCACCAGCTAACATGCTTGAGTATTTTTAGCACATTTAAACCTGATATGGCGAGTTGGCTTTATGTGAACCTCAAATAATTTTTAAAAGAGTTTATGTTCCTGATCCAACGGAGCCTCGCCTGGTTTAACTTCTAAGAGTCTGAGCGGCATGCAGTGGACTTTTGAGGATTTGAGGCATTGGCCAACTCAGCCTTGGAGAATGGGCCTTATATTGTCAATTAATTTGAGAAATTTAATTTAAATAATAAATGCACATTTTCTTATTTTCTCAACTGGATATTTATATATGGTTTGTAATTTGTCATTATTTTATTTTGGTATACTATGTATTTAATTAACAGTTTAAAAAAAAAAGTCCTTTTATCCGTGACTTTCTATATTTCTGGGGTCTATTAAAGACCACAAACTGAATTTGAACCTCATTTTATTTGAAACTATTTTTTTACCCTCAAAATTTATAGGGCTCTCATTTAATAATAGAATGTTTTATTTATAAAGTTTGAGGATTGGAGACAGCAGCCGTGGCTTATATCGCATGTCTCAAGCTCTAACAATCTTTCACAGCACAGTAACGCTCTTATTAATGACCGTCTCCAGATGCTGCTGTAATCTGCCCTCTCTTACCCAGAGGCCGAGGGCGGTCGCGGAGCTCGCGGTGGTTGGGGTGGCGGTAGGAATCTCTGTAGTGGTGTGCTATGGCCATGTCGTCCAGACGGTAGTGCTGTGGAGGGGGCGGGGTGGGGTGTGGCAGGCCGTTGGGCGGGTAGGACAGCCCGTTGGAGGGGCTGAAACGCTGGCCGGGACTGATAGTGCAGGGCCTCTTGTTGGGGTGCTCGGGATGGAGCGGCTCCCGCTCAAAGCCGTTCTCTTTGGTTCTGGAATAAGAAAGAACATTCCAGAGTGAGGAACAGGAAAGAAATGTTGCACTGATGTTATACTAATGGATGGATGGGTGGGTGGGTGGATGGATGGATGGATGGATGGATGGATGGATGGATGGATGGATGGATGGATGGATGGATGGTTGGGTGGATGGATGGATGGATGGATGGGTGGGTGGATGGATGGATGAATGGGTGGATGGATGGATGGATGGATGGTTGGGTGGATGGATGGGTGGATGGATAGATGGGTGGGTGGGTGTGTGGGGTTGGATGGATGGATGGATGGATGGATGGGTGAATGGATGGATGGATGGTTGGTTGGTTGGGTGGGTGGGTGGGTGGATGGATGGATGGATGGGTGGGTGGATGGATGGATGGATGGTTGGGTGGATGGATGGGTGGATGGGTGGGTGGATGGATGGATGGATGGATGGTTGGGTGGATGGATGGGTGGGTGGGTGGATGAATGGGTGGATGGATGGATGGTTGGGTGGATGGATGGATGGATGGATGGATGGATGGATGGATGGATGGATGGGTAGGTGGATGGGTGGGTGAGTGGATGGATGGATGGATGGGTGGGTGGATGGATGGCAGGATGGGAGGGTGGGTGGATGGATGGATGGATGGATGGATAGGTAGGTGGGTAGGTAGGTAGGTAGGTAGGTAGGTAGATAGATAGATAGATAGATAGATAGATAGATAGATAGATAGATAGATAGATAGATAGATAGATAGATAGATAGATAGATAGATAGATAGATAGATAGACAGACAGACAGACAGACAGACAGACAGATAGATAGATAGAGACCTTACACAACTGGATGTCTTTCCATGTCAGGGACAATGTTGACTCACTATTTATTTTTATTTCTTTTACCCCTCCAACAAAACAGACACTGACATTGAGATGTCTTTTGAGGACAGTGTGTTCATTCATGTAATGTACTTTCCTATGCTGTTAGTCGAGAGAGAATGTGAAACTGCTCCTTAGGCAGTAAGAGTCTGTCATCTAATAATGTGCTAAGTAGAAAAGCAGCCACTATGCCTCCGTTGAGCACTTTGTTGTCAGTAAAAGGAGGTCTTGAAAGAGCACATGAGGACCATAAGAGATGTGCACTTACAGGATTCATTCAGCGCACCCAAACCCTGGTGCTTTCACATTGCTTTGCCCTTTACTTTCATGTGTCACGGGTCCAGGTGTTCGCAGATGCTGGTACTCGTGTGAGTCACAGTGCGTGCGTGTGTGTGTGTCGTCCCTCGGTTACCTCTGAAAGAGACTGAACTTCCTAATGAGCTGCTTTTATGAGCTGCTAATGTGCATCCATCACAGTCCATATGCTCCTCAAAACCTCCTCTCTCCTCCACCCACACCTCCAAAACACAGCTGCATTTATTTTACCCCAGTCTCATACATTTTATTACCAATTCTAATTCTATCCATTCTTCATGGACTTGTGTCTCTGATTCAGGTACTGTATGTGATTTTCATGTGATTCTCCATCTTGTTTTTTTTCCCCCCATCTACAAAACATGTATTTTTGGATCTCTTTTTTCATTTATGATGTTTTTTGTTTTTTATAAAACAGATGTTGTAAAAACTTTCTTTTTTTATGGTAGTGTATTATAGTAAGTAAGATATTCCTTGGGTGTATTCATTTTAAAAGCCCAGTTTATAACACTCTTTTGTGGATCACTGAAAGCTGTGAACTTAATTTGAACCTCATTCTGAAAACACCATTTTTTTCTTTTCAAATATATAGGGGTCGTGCGGCACAATGGAATATTTTATTCAAATAAGTCTGGGCGCACATTTCTCTTCTAAATGAGGAGAGCGTGCTAAGACTGCATTGCGGGATGCGCTCCTCTCCGTAGCTGTAGTCTCCTGATTCCTTTGATATTAATCAGACTGAAGTGACCGTATATTGTACTCCGTGATTAAGGACAGCATAGCTTCCTTTCAAATTCCAATATTGCTTTTCTCTCTCTTCCACCTCCTCATTCTGAGCGCGGAGAGTCGAGTCGAGTCGAGCCGAGCCGAGCTAAGCAGAAACAGAAGCGCTTAGCCAGCCGTATCTGAGCTGAGTCTCATCTGTATGTGTTATCAGCCATGTCCCTAGGCTCACCTAGCCATACATTAGAGCTCACGCAAAAATGCAGGTATTACATAAAAAAAAGATAGAAGGAAAGAGAAAAAGAGAGCTGTATATTCTTCTCTAATATCCACAGGGACCTGAGTATGAGCTGATATGTATTAATTTAACATAGCATATTAAAAAAGTATCTTCACTTAAAAGTGGAAATGATTCTGAGCTCCGGGGAATGAAGTGAACTGATATATAAAAGCTTTTTTTTATCTTTTCTCTCAGTCCACAGACTGTAGATTTGCTTTACAGTGCTAATTCTCACTCACGTCCATCTCAACAGGAAGTCTCCACAGAATCCACCTGCATTTTCCAGATGTGTCTGGTTTCTTAAGGTTCTGCTCCATTTAAGGACGAGGATCCAAATGACGCATGACAATATAGACACTCATTTCTACATCTCTCCAGCTGTTTTACAAGCTTGTATTCCTAGTCTATATATTTAGGTGGCTAAAGTCCACTCACTAGCAAAAAAAATGCGCTTTAAAACATTTATCAATAACTTTAAAAACTAAGAGCTCTTAGAAATTAAGAAAAGGCCCACTGACCTGAGGAAGTTTGCATTGTCATTACAACTTGCTTTCATTGATTGTGTGTTTTTATTTCTTGCAAAATTAAATATTTGTGTGTTTTCTGTGATAAATTGAACATTTTTTTGGGTGAATTGTCAGAATGACTTCTGTTAGCCCTGGAAACATGAATTAGTCTTTTGAGAAAGAATAATAGAAATACATTTTTGAGTAAATTATAGAAAAATATCAATTGTATTTTTGTCTCAAAGCAAATAAAATGCATGTTTATAGTATATATCTTAAAACATAGTGTGACTGGCTAAAAACCAACAAAACTACAAGACTGATTGATGATGTCAATTTACAGTTCAGCTCACCTGTCAGGCGTTCTTCTCTTGCCATTCTCATTGACATCCATCAAGAGTTCAGAAGAGTCGACGGGTGACGTGGTGCTTGTGTCCAGCAGGAGCTGCTCATGTTGGGCGAGATACTGAGCCGGGTTCTGCTTGGCCAGCCGTGCACAGTGCACCAACTCCCTCTGCAGTAGCGGCAGGTTGGCCTGTAGGGGGAGATAGTGGTCAGGTTGTGCTGCTGAGCAGATGTGACACTATGAAGCTGTCCACAGCCAGAGGCTCTAAACACCGTTTTTTTGTTTACTCATTATTATCATTACAGGTACATTCTTCCAAAATAAAGACACTCTTGTGCCGTTTCGAACAGCACTCTATTGTGACCCGAAACATGCATTAGTGCCCTGGGCCTTCGATATGAGCAATAATGGTCAACATAGAAAGTGACATCTTCAAAGCAGATGGTTTGGAGGTGGGGGGTGGGGTGGGGGGGCAACGTTCGCTTTCTTTCGGTCTCATTTCCTCTGCATCTCCGTCATGATTACTAGCTGGCTTGGCTTTCTCCGAAAGCACTCGGAGGCCTCGCCACTTCAAAGACACACGGAGGAGCATTTTCACAGCAGATGAAAGGTTTTTGTGAATCCCCATCCAACAACAGTCGGACTATTGCAGCATCTAAACAGCACAAGGTGTTAGTTGGAGGATGATGTCTTTTCTTTCTTTCTTTCATTCCTTCTCTCGGGCCTGTGACTCTGATCCAAGACTATAATCAAACATATTTTCAGCTCTGGAATATTTTTCAGTGTACTCTCACAGTGTGCCTTTTCACTGATGTAATGGCTAAAATTAGGAGTAGGGCGTTGATTGAATATTGAACGAAGCACAATGAAAGCATAGACTTTAAAGGAAGCGTGGCAAAAAAAAATGTAGCCGTTGGTCATGATACAGAAACAAATCATGATAAAGGTAAATAAATTCAAGTTATTTTGATTCATTTTAATGATTGGGATTGTTTATAAAGGACCTCTCGGTTGCCAGCTGTATGAGGTAATGGTCTGTTAGTAGTTTATGGTGATAATTACCAGAGGCAGTGAAATTGCTTTGACCCTAAATGACCTTAGACTTTTATTAAATGGAGGTCCTCATAGTTAGTGGCAGTTCATATATAGCAGCTGCTCACATATTTTTGTCTTGCTTTCCAGTATGAATATATACACATTCTTATATCAAGATACATTTGCTTGAGGAGCAAAATGACAAAAGATATAAAGTTTTCAGATATCATGCATAAAATAGTAATACAAAATCTGCCAGTGGGGTTATAAAAAACTTGTTTTTTAGTCATTTTTTATATAATATCTTAATATCTTTTATATTTAAAAGAAAGTTAAGATATTTAACAAGACAAATCATGAGAAAGAAAATCATTTTTGCAGTGTATTTCCAGCCAGTGAATTAGAAAAGCGTATTCATCAGAAAACGGTCAAATTTTTGTTGTGTTATAACTTTTATAACGCAATCCCGTAGCTTTATACGCATGCAATAATTTGATGTTTGCTTCGATTATGTCTGAGTGTGTTCTCCAGCTCCTGTGTGGTCCATTAGCACGCAGCTATTTGGAAACCAGCATATCAAACACAAGCCGCAAAGGAGTTTGCCATGTACATGTAATCCTCACTTCCTCTGCACTGATAGCATGTGGTGAAGCGCCGACTATGTCACGCTGAGTACGTCTCTGAGCAATGAGGCACAGAGGAACACATGTGCTTACAGGCTTTATGGAGACCGCTGAACGAAACAGCGGCTAAATATTACAAATTTATCTGATGAGGAATCCATTTGGACAAATCATAAACAAAAGCCCTCGGCACAAAGGCCGTCAGCTGGCGTCAAATTCGGATTACATCATTAGCGTGATGCACGCTGCCCTTCCTGTAAACACTTCCCCGCAAAACCCAACTCTGACGGGAGGGTCGCTAGACAACATTAGCCTAATGAAAAAATGCTGCTAATGCACATTGTTGCAGCTGCGCTTCTGCACGCTTATAAAAGCCCCTGTTCCCACAGCCATATGGTATTTGTCATTAAAGGCTCCTTTGAGGAAAACCACTAAAATTAGACGAGAGGGAGAGAGGGAGCGAGGAAAAAAAAACACAAGTTGCATCTTTGATACCACCCCTCCTGACTGGATGATACAGTAACCATATGGTGTGAGAGAGCGAACGAGTCAGGGAAGTGTCCCTGTGTGCTTCTCTGCATCCGTCAGCGACCGGCGCGACCCCTAATGGGACCAATTTCTGCATGACAGAGCCGGCCAGTGGACAAGATGAAATGCCTTCGAACCGCACGCCGCGAGAACGGAGGACGCGTGAAAGCGACGGACCCCTTTCCATCATCATCTAATGGAGTAAACAACACAGATTTGATGCATCTCCACCGGTCGCTTATTGTATTTTTATGGAAAGGAAGACGGAGTAAAGCAGAGCGTGAGAGAAAGATGGGAGGCACAGGGGGAGGGGGTGAAGGTTAGACAAAGAGGGAGGGGAACGGGTGCGTAATAGCTGTCACTTACTAGCGGATGAAAACGAATGGCGAACGATTGAGGGTGGATGGATACAGCAGTCACCATATGGATCAAAGCTCATGAGAATTTAATCTCTATCAAGCGCTGATGTCTATTTGCTGCATATGTCATACATTAACGAATTATACATTCGCTCCGCAGGCTACAATCACTTTAATCTCGGACATGATAATGCGATACAAAAATGTGTCATGTGTAATTCAAATACTTCCCTTAGTCGAAGGAATAATATACAGAGTGTTTATTTGAACGGCCAACATAAACAGGCCCAGAGACACATTTGGCTGTAATGAAATGAGGGGCGTAGTGACAAATGGGCGGCAGAGAGGGCAAAGGTCGATATTCTCCCGGACAACAGATCGTCTTATTGTGGAAATGGTACGAAACTCAAGTCAGCGTGTGAGAAAAGCGACGGTCGGACAAGGGAGTCCATCGAGACGTATGAATAAATAGAGACATTGTGCTGTGGGACGGTCCCGTATGGTGCTGTTACACTGAGTAATGTGGGTTCACATCATGTATTTCCAAAGAGAAATTAAAAAATAGGTCCCAGTGACCAAGAAACCTGATGCCTCTTTGCTCATGAGGAAACCATGTATCCATTCAGGCCATTTAAAAGTGAGGGATGACACAAAAAAAAATCAAGAGCAGGGAGAAATATGTACATCTGTGCCTCAGTTGTTTAAATGCTTTCCAGATTGCTTGCTTGTGCAATACCTTCAGAAACGGGATGACAAAAGGTCGGAGTGGGAAGTTGGTCGCTTCTTGCAGTTTGGAGTGGAATTCCTCAATGGTTAGAGTGGAGTTCTGCAGGGAGAGAGGAAAAAAGACGGTGCACGCATGAATACATGTGGAAAACATTATGTGATAATATTACTTATTGGAGGCAAAACTATATCCTGCTGAAGATTGAATGATTTGAAGACTGTAATGGGAGGCATATGGATGGCTGTGGTCAAAGGCCTCATATGGGGAAGTTTGATCTGGTGGCTTTTACATGTGCACGCGCTGACCGCATCATCATTGCATCAACAAACACACAAATACATAGGCAAACACAACTACAGATGCAGTATTACGCCACGTAGGTTGATAAAACATGGCTTAAACATCATAACACACACAGAAGATATGCAGCTTTAAAAAAAAACGTGTCTTGTTCCCTACCGAACTGACATATATCTTACCCCTGTAACTTGGCAGTGTAAATATATATATATATATATATATAAATAGAGAAATTACTAATTTCTATCGCTCCTGCTCTCTGCTCTATCATCTTTTAACAGACTGATAGGACTGATAGGAGAGCATTTTCAATTTTCGAGACGTTATTTCCAAGAGAGCTAGCGGAAGGAAAGATGGGAAGCAGAGCGGGGAGTCATACATTTGAGAAAAATACACAGGCTTTTTTTTTTTTTTTCCTCTTTTCCCAGACCTGAATTTTGTTACATTAAGCTTACATCTGTTCGGCCAGATTGCAGCGGCCTGTTTTGACAGCCAGAAAGCCTCCTGAGCTTTTCTCCAGCATCGGCGGCGCTAATTAAGTGTGTCACTCTTTTCAATAAGGCAGAGTGGGGAGCGAATTAAAAAGAGCCATGGAAGCCAAGGGGACACAAGGAAGCCTCTGCGTGTAGACACAGCGAAAAATAAACAAATGCCCGCCGAAAAAAAAAGAGCTTTCCTTTGGAATGGCTAATTAGAGCAGCCCTCCTCTAGAACAGGCAGCTATTTCACCATTGTTTCGTCCATAACTACATATTAATGAAAAGAAATGCTGTGGCACAGCTTATGGTGCACTAGTCAAGTGGATCTTTTTTTCTTCACAGTTATGTTGCTAACTTGCTATCCTTGGCAACCATTTGATTTATCTCTGTTGGACAAGCCTTTATTTCCTACTTGGTGACATAACCTTTTTGGCGATAAAACAAATCATTTTCGACTGTCCTCAAACTTTTCAGGAGACACAACTATCACTAGTAACTTTTTGTCACAATATACTAGGGCCGGGTAATAAATATCGATTTCTCGATATTAATCGATTCTCATTTTTACGAACCGATATCGATTCTTAAATCTCAAGAATCGATTAGTCATCCTGTTTCATTTGAATAAATGGAACATTGTATCGCGGCTGCGCGCATCCACAATAATCTTTGTCCTTTGTTACTATTGATATGAAACAAAGTCTCAATTTTCAAATTACGTCAATTTTCTTTAGAAATTCAAAAACATAAATAACGTTTTGGTGCTGTGGCGTGAGATCTTTATATTTCATATAATCTTATTATTATAAAAATAAATAAAAGCGCATTTAAGTGTTTGTATAGCTACAAAAGTTAATAATTACCTTCATATTGGGCTAATGAAGCCTAGTAGGCTACAACTAGACTCCCATAGTTTACAGCATTCGTTAAGAGATTTGATTTCCAAAAATAATCAATATTGAATCGAATCCAAATCGAAATCAAATCGAATTGCAAGCTTGTGAATCGAAATCGAATCGAATTGTGAAATTTGTGTCAATACCCAGCCCTACAATATACACAATACACTGTTGAAAATCCTCATTAAGGTCACGATGAAACGGAAGAAGTGGCAGATCTTTTCTTTTATTGTGACGTACATCCATATGTAATGGCTTATTGGAAAAAATTTAATTAGGGCATTGTTCAATTCATAAATAGTTGATTGGATTTTGAGATCATAAAGTCATAAACAGAGGCAGATGAACATGAGCTTGCAGGGGCAGAGTTTAAGCAAAATACACCCCAAATACATGATTGGCATTCATCTGGTCCGATTTAACTTTTTGGTTAAAAATGAAAAAATGTATTCATGGATGAATCTCACAATAAGATGAATAACGTGCATTTACGCAATAGATTGGGTGAATTGCAATTTCATGCCGACTTAAGCCACCGACTATGTGATTTCAGACTTACCACAAGTCCTAACACCAGGGTACGCACTCGTTCTCCTATCTCGGGTGAGATGTCATTGCCGAACTGCTGCAGTGTCGTGAGGAAGCGTTTGAGCTTGCTGAGCTGCCTTGCGCCACAGGCCGGCGGCAGCTGTTGATTGGCCAGTGAGGACGAAGATGACGATGAAGGCCCATTGCTGAAGCCATTGGGTGGAGATGGGGCTCCGTTCAGTGCAGTGGGAGAGTGACTGGTGCCATTCGTTACTGGAAAACAGAAATATATTATTTCTACATGCCACAAAAAGATCGTTGGCATTTATTTTGAACCCGAGTGTATTGAATGATCTAGACCCAAAACATTCCTCAGAAAGAAGCTGCAAGAGCATCCTTTGTCAAAAATGACATTTCCGTATGAACGCCTGTGACTGACGGTGCTTGAATGAGGCTCTTGCGACAGTGGAACATTTGTTTTGAATCAGCCACGGCAGCTTTGAGAAGGAAGCAGTGCGTTCCATACATCAGACATATTAAGTCCAGAGGAGGAGAAGACATGTGGTCGAGAGCCCCCCGTACCACGATGAGAAACATACGCGGCGGAGGGATGCAGCTTGGAATCAACGTCTCTCTAATGAGATTAGGCTGCGTGATAGCCTCGTTTGCCTGGCCTCCTTCCAACAGAACAGAAACGAGATACTTGAGCTGCATCTGGTAACAATTACATGGAGGGGAAATCAAAGCGCTTGCTTTGTTAAACCTTCAGAATGTATAATTAGAGTCTGCCTTTAAAAAGGATCCGGATTGCTTCAGACCCCGGCTTGCTTTTTGTCTCTTTTTTTTCATAAGCGCTAATTGCAGAGTCCAACTGATCTGTTTTTAGGGATGTAACATCAGAGAGAGGAATGTGTTACTGCTGTTGACGGCACACCACTGCTCAATTACACTGACATGGTGCTGGGAGGCTGCGGCACGGACGGCTTTGATAGTGAGCCACTCCAGCGCTCCCCTGAGCTGCCATGTGTGATGCTCTTTGTGGCACCAGCCAGCGGGCAGATGCAAAAATCTGCAGGTCAGAGGACGAGGGGAACTCATGTTCGGCTGTAATAAGGGCAGTGCAAAACTACATATTCTTTAAAAGATTATATGAATGGCTAGTCAACAAGTTGGCCTTAAAGCCTTGTATAATTTTACCACTTTGCTTTTGAAATCTTTGTTCTGTGTTCTTGTTTCTGCATTTGTTTTGTATTGTAACTTTTTTATTTGAACTTTTATGTAACATTGAGCATTAGGAAGGAGTTGCGTTTAAAGAATAATATTTCCGAGCAAAAATATTGGACATTTTCACCTCACACTCAACATTTTGATTAGAATACATTATGTTCAATCAACTAATTGCAAATGGTCTAACTGTAAAAGTAGTGCTGTCAACTAATTTATGCACCCAAAGCAGAGATCAAGATTCTACATATGCATATGACTCCCGTGCTTCTCTCCATTGTACACAAACCCAGCATCTCCTTTAAACCAACTTGTCTGACATATCACAAACTGTAAAATGCTGGAAGATGATAATGGAAGTCCAAATATAATTATTTCAAAATAACATAATGCATCTCTATAAACACTTTATATAGACAACAACGGTATGATTTACATGTAAAAATGAATGATTTAAAAGCATGATATGTACCCTTTAACAAATGTCGACAGGGAATTTTTTTTACGAGCAGTTCATTCATACCTATGCAAGATCGCAGTGAAAATACAGACCTGAAGTCAAAAGACAACGAGCGCAGGGCTGAAAATGGGCGGGGCTACATAAGGTCTATATAGCAGGCGAAAAACAGTACGTCTGAATTCACAGTACAAAAAGAGTGGGCAAAATGTACCCTGATGACCTACTTCTTCCAGTGAGAATCTGAAGGGTGCATACGATGGATATTTTACTTTCCCATGAGGTCACGGGAGAGGTTTCATGAATGGCAGTGAATCGACGTAATTGGCGCTGGTAGGTCACATGATAATGACAACATGGCGAATGTACGTAGGACTTCCAAATAACATTCATTCTACACACATTAATACTTAATACTTGGTCGTGACGTAATTGTTCAAAATAAGTACCTACAGTACTCAAGAGAGTATGGCATTCTGGAATCAGCCCTTTTGTAGAAGTACTCACATGCAGTTGGGGTGAAGGAGCTGGTCCTGGGAGCTCCCTGTGTGGTGGGGGGAGGAGGCATGGTGGGCGGAGTTAACCTGGACTGTGTTTTCACATCAGCAGGTGAGTCGGGCATGGTGGACCGCTTCTCAGTACGATCTGCAAAAGAAAAAGTGGAACAGTTCTTGTGAGACCTCAGTGATATCCCAACAGCTGCCTCTCCACAGCACCTGAGCTCCTGGAAGATATACACACATAGCTACATACACGATACACGCCTTTAGAGAGTTCATAGATAGTAACACCAGTCAAATTCCAGCTGTCATCCCCATTTCCCTAATGATCAAAGACACCGGCAATATTCTCATTAAAACGTTTCAGAAATCTGGAGGAAACCCACAGAGATCTCCAGCATCTTCAACAGACATCTAATGTCAAAAGTACCCTGTTCTTCTAGATTAAAAACTCGACTATGGTTAAGAATAAAAAAAAAAATAAGTCAATTGTGCACTGTATATTTAACTCACAGTCACAATGCACAGGTGTTATCATGTGTTGCTATGTGGTTTGAGAGTGGTTTCTAGATCATTGCTAGGTGGTTCAACTTCAATTTATTTTGTGTCAGTTAGTTGCCAAGACATACAAAAATAAAAAATCTGACTGCTTAGAAAAACAATAGCATTCCTCAATAAACCGCATCATTTGCAGTATCATTCATGTCTTTAAGAATTTGAACAACCCACAGCTCCGAGTATGCTCATAGCTCCTTTAAAATATACATTTTATTAGGAGCTTTGACACCGGAGGAACTTTTTCATAGTTCCTATAACTATTTGTGGAAGTATTCACTTTTTGGTGTGTTCGCACTGGAAATGGGAACAGCTTTTACTCTTTTTTGGGGGGACTAAATTAGCTTCTACTGTAAGGGTTATTTCACCCCAAAATGAAAATTCTCTCAGTAATTACTCACTCTCATGTTGATCCAACCAGGTTCATCTTCGAAAAACAAGAACACACTGGGCCGGCCAGTTTCGATCCATTAAGAAGCCTATATAGGAGTGATCCAGCTCTCAGATTTAATAAAAAATATCTTAATTTGTGTTCTGAAGAAGAACGAAAGTCTTGGGTTGGATCAACATGAGGGTGACTGACAGAATATTCATTTTGGGGTGAACTAACCCTTTAAGAGTAGGGTCTAACCCAGCACAATAGGAACTACCAGTGACGTAAGTGTGGGTTTAAAAAAAAAAACAACAACAACAAAAAAACACAGTTTATAGTCTTATTTACTTCACGAACATGGAAAACAGTGTTAGATGTACCAACGGCGAAGTCAAGCGACTTCTAAACCTTTAAGCTGAGGATATCCAATGTAACTTTGAAGGGAACAAGCAAACATGATTATGCATTAAATATATAATAACACCGGCCCTAGTGGCTAGTTCCTATAACTTAATTCCTATAACATCCTGGTGAGAAAGCCCCTCATATTACTACAGGTCTTTAAAAAGCTAAATAATTAGTAAATAGAAAGCTGATTATGGGTAATTTCTAAAGAGACTTATCTACATCTCTTGAAAAAGAGGTCAATAGTAGAGATGGAGAGGTCTGTAAGATGCTACTCATCTGTGTCCTGGCTACTTCTCTATAATTGCTTAAAGCGTCAATGGTGCTATTGTTAACTAATGAAAACCTTTTTTTTTTTAAATAGTATTCATTAATTAAAATAAAGCTGAAATGTAATATTAAATGTATTATAGGTGCTGAAATGATTACAACCAAAACTCAAATAAAAATGACAAAAGCACAAAACAAAATGACTAAAACGTAAACTAAATTAAAATGAAAACTGAAAATATATAAATAAAAGCTATGAGCAGTGACACTGATGGTTTTTAGGGCACGTGAGCATGCTTTTTTGTTAAAAAAAAACCTTCAAAACCGTAGATATGACCGCACATAACATGATATCTAGATAGTGTTTACTTCAGAAGGTCATGATTAAAGAAGCGGTCACAGTGTCCTTTAGTTGCTGAACCTTAAAATTCTGCTTATCTATCAGACTTATGATAGTAAATTCACTCTCATTTTAGTTGTTTTACAATATCAGCATCTGTACTGACCTATCAGAACCCTCACACTCTCTCTTTCTTACATATAGACAGACATGTACGCACGCGTTGTACCAGCTGTGGGAACATTATGTGTCAGGGCGAGCAGCCGCCCTACGTCTGGGACGTGTAGCCTGACTTTCCTGATTACAACTGTCCTGTGTGTCCCCTAGACTCTGATAACAGCAGGGGCTCCTGTCTTTCTAATTCTCTTTCTCTAACCGCTATCTTTTCAGCACGTCTTACTCCACAGAAGAATACTAATTAAATACAGCCTGTTAATAACGCCTATACATCCCTTATAAAGATGACTCAAAGCTAGATTTGGGCTATTGTCTTAGGGCTATGTACACATTGCAGAATAATCTAAAAAGAAAGGTGGGTCCACTTAGACAACCATAGTCTGACCAGGAAAGCAGAAGAGATAAAAAGGGTGGGAATTTCAGCTACGAACGGCTCCCATTCCATAGGCAACTCTATGGCTGTATGTGTCCAACAGAACCTAAACATATGTGTCAGGCTTAATCGGCCCCATACTAGCTCCCCATGCACTCTCAATCCTTTCCCAAATTCATATGTCACTTGTGCTAAAAAAAAAAAAAAAAGCTCAAGCATTATACATTACACAGGGACCGATCCATCTATCCCAGTCGGAGCTAACCTTTTATGACAGAATAATAAGCAGGGGTCTTTATTCCATGCCTACATCTGTGCTGATAAACAGTTCTGTATCTGTGTTGTCAAAAAATAAAGAAAAAGAAAATAATATAAAAAATGAAGGGATGATGGACAGACTACTTAAAAAAAAAACCAATGCTGGTAATGAAACATTATTATTTCTAATAAGGCAACTCTGCATTCAGCCTATGATATTCATTAAAAACACAATGATAGAAACGAAAGATTCTTGAGTCGGTGAAAGGGACGAGGCAAAGCAAAGTGGTTTGATTCAACATTAAAATCTCAGTATGGGGTTAGTTATTACCTTGAAATGTTAACAACGTGACAAGTCCAGGCACTATAATTTATGAGAGCCGCCGTACAAGTCTGAAATGAATAAAATAGCCCAAGCTCTAGTGCGAAAGTAATTCTAAACCAATATGCCTGTCAGATTATTATAATTGGAAAATATATGAAATCGGGAAAAAATATATATTAATTGTCCAAGACATGATAAGGTCTATGGGAAAGGCTTTTGGTCTTAGAAGCAGCCCAGGGCAACCTAAAAAGCAGCTTGTGGATCTACATGTGTAATTGAGGATTAACATCTGGGTCAAAGTTGGGATTGGATTGGGAATCGGGAAAAGAGAAACAACCCTGATACTGTACGTCTAAACCTCATCCTCTCTCCTTACCTGTCCAAAAGAAATGGATGATAGGAGGTACAGAATAGAACAGGCAGTAATCTGTTACACTTTTATGTGCATGCTCACAAGCATGCCGACATGCAAGCTAAGATTCTGACCCCGTGGAAGACACAGGAAGGAAGAAGAAATATGAAAAAGTGGTGTAAATGTGGAACGTTGTCCATTTAGTCAGCACAACATATCCATTAAGTTTCCTATTTCCTTCACTATTTTCTGCTGAAATATTACACATCAGACAACTTAAAAGCATTGCACTTCCTATAGTATGCGTCACCCCGTGTATAAACACCATAATACATCTCACTTTTATACTGGCAGGATGGATGAATTCCACATCAAGTACAATCAATGACTGTAAAAACCCAAGGAAAAAAGCATATTCAGATATTTTAATCACACTATTTCCATTAGACTAAGAGTGTGGGAATAAAATCTAGGTGTTACATACAGTACATAATATGGAATGCAGGTTATATATGCATATTTGATCTCCTATTAGTCAAAGTGCATTGTACCACCTAAAGCATTAATCCCACCTAAAAGTGGTTGACTGCGCAAATATGCGGTGGGGAAAAAAAAAGAGATGCATAACTCAATTCAAATGAGTTCCCTCTTGGAGAGGAAAAGAAGCAATTTTGCATTTTAAACAGGCTCAAAAACATACCAGAGTGCACATCCATCCTGCCTTGATTTCATAAAGTTAATCTGCGCAGAGTTAACGCACAGAGTGCATTTGTTTGGCAGTTACCTGGCTTTTCAAAACGGGAAATTGGCAGACGAACGGCACAGATGAATATTAGGCGGGCCACCGCAGATATTGATGCAGCAAGAGATTTAATGTGGCTCCCAGGAAGGAGGATGAAGTGCTTTCCATTTTCCTGTTCGCCAAGGTCTTTTATTGCTTTTCAAAAGAGCTCTCGAGTAATATGGATCGCCATTAAACGGCACACCAAACTGAGCATTAGAAAGCACAGACTCGCTCATCTTCACTCCACGCCTGGTCATTTTTCATGACCCGACAGTGGCAGTGAATTTCTTGCTAGGACGTGACTGGCTCTCCTAGCCACTCTCCTTATATCTTTCTGCTTATATCACTAATTCTACAGTCTGTGTCTATTTCTACAGTCTTCTATGCCTGAACAAGTGACACTACTGGGGTGTTCTGTAAACACTGAATTATGGTTTACACACTGTCAAAAACAACTCAGTTTCATGGATATTATACAAGCTACACATAAGATTACGCAGAAATACAAAAAGCACAGTTCTGGTTTAAAATATTATAAGCTTCAAGCTAATTTAAAACCTGTCCTTTTGGATTCTATCAATCAACATCAGTCTTCTTTTATCCATCAATCTGATCTGCTCTTTTCATAATGCACCCTGTATCCTTTCTTCTGATAACATGGCCAGAACAATCGGAGAAAAATAATATTCTTTACACACACACACAGCTCGACTTACATGTCTCTTACATCAATCACTGCACAAGTGGTAATGTTTGGCTCATTCCAGGGTGGGAAAAACAGCTATCTGTGTACCGAATAATCTCATTAATTTTCTTGTTGCATATAAGAAATGTTTTTTGAAGCAGACCTCCCCACGTAATGAATTTAAAATTATAATTATAATCACATCCCCGCATCTCCACTTCTTTGTCATTGTGAAAACTGTAAAGCTT